AGGATTTGATTAGGTTTTAGATTTTGCTTAGGATTAGAGTTTGATTAGGAATAAGATTTGGTTAGGATTAGGATTTGATTTGGTTAAGAGTTTGATTTAGATTTCTTTAAGTTTCTTTAGGATTTTCTTGTGTTTTTTTTATAATTTATTTTAAAAATAAATAATAATAATAATAATAATAATAATTAGACTTAATTGATGCTTGATTATGATTTTTAAGCTTCTTTAGCAATTTATATACGATTTTACTAGAGTAATTAAGACTTATTGTTGAAAATTCCTTTTACCTTCCACAGCCAAGTGCCCAGCACATTCTCAAGTAAGATTTTACGTAATATGACAACGTTTTAGAAAATATTTTGGAATTGGAAAAGGAAAGGATTTTGAGGCTCTAATGATCCCAAAAATCTATGAAAAGGTCAAGAGATTATTTCTTCTTGCATCTTCATCTTAGATTCTATCTTCTAACTCCTAGCTCCTATTCCTTGCATTCAAGTGGTTTACTAAAACTTCAAAGAAAAAAATAATTAAAAAAAGTTTACGAACATATTTGTTTCAAAACTATTAATGTTCTCTTTCTTTCTTCTTATATTCTTTTTCTTCAAATCACAATCTATGTTAATAAAATAAATTTAAAATTTAATGAATTTTATATAAAAAATACTCACCTTAGATTATAATTTGAACTTATTGGTCTTTCTTTTCTTTTCTTTTCTTTTCTTTTTCTTTCTTTCTTTTTTTTTTTTTTTTTTTTTTTTCCAAATTCCTTCTATCTAGTTTTTTATCTATTTTTTCTTTTTGAATTTCTTCTTCTTCTTTTATTGATGAAGAATTCTCTTGAGATTCTTATTAAGATCTTTTTATACTACTTCCCATGAATAAAAGGGATACAAGGAATAGAAGGAGTGATTAAATCTCTCTACTACTAGTAAAAAACCCTTCAATTGAAAATTCACAACAATGAAAAGAAATGATATGAAAGATAGAAGAAGTGATTAAATCCTCCTATCACTAAAGAAAGGTCTTCAACTAGAAAATTATAAGGAGGGGAGTGATGAAACCTTGAAGATGAGCTCCACTCCTTATGCTTTGGAAGTGACAACTAACCTAAAGAGAACCACCAACTAATGCTAACACTAATATTAAACTATTCAAATATTACTTAAGATTAGAAATAATAATATTTCAAAAAATAATAATAAATAAATAAATAGTATATTAAATTTAATTCAATACATAAAATTTATCATGCATGTAAAATATAAAATAATATTAGTAAATAAAATTAATAATAAAAACTTTAAAAAAATAAAAATAAAAGATAAAATAAAAATAAAAGTAAAAGTAAAAGTAAAAAAATTAAAATTAAATTAAAATTATTGTTTTATTTTCATTTTTATTAACTATTAAAATAATTATTTTAATTTAATAGTATTATTTTATTTCTACTATATTTTTTTAATTTTTTTTATAATTTAATATAGTTAATAAAATAAATATTTAAATACAAAATTTAAAAGTAAAATATAAAATCAAAAATATAAATGATTGAAGAGATAGAAATTAATAATCTCAATTATATTTTGCTTAAGACAGCAACCTCTCTCCACTCAAAAAATTGTCAAAAATTCAATTCAAATTTAATAGTATTAAATTTTATACTACTAAAAACTTAACTTTAAGGTGCTTTTATTCAAAAACTTCTAATATTTAATTATCACCAAGCACTAAGAAATGCCTTTACAAACATAGAGTACATAAAATTACCAAGGCAGTGAACCTCTTTTAAATCTAAAATTCACTGAAAATTCAAATCAACTCTAATTTAAATAATTGATAGCTTTTTTGAAAGCTAAAATCAAGATAAAAAATCTTAAAAAGTCTCAACTTAAAAGATGCAATATAATAAAAACTGATTGATAAAAATCTGAGAGCAAATCAACATCCAACTCAACAATGAAATTTTTGACTATCTTATAAATTGAGAAATAGAAATACTTTGCTTATACCAATAAGGAAGAGATTTAGAAAACTCACCAATGATTGAGAGCTACTTGAATTTTTCACTCAAAAAAACCAAGCAAGATCAATCACAACAAGAAAACTTGACATTTATACACACTATTAGAAGTACTATTTTTTGGCAAATGCACCAAAATGTGAAGGTAAATTTTATCCTTCAACTCAAATTACAAGATGGCCTCAATTAAAAGTTGCTTGTAATTGATGGTGTAAAGTGGAAGTACCAAGAATAAGAAAATAAGAAGCACAACACAAAACAAGTGAAACAACTACAATAAAGCAATTGTATATTATAAAATTAGTTATAATCTATTTACTAGATTTTTATTTAGTAAAAAATAAAAATAAAAAATATTTTTTTAGATAAATAATCTTTTTATATTTTTAATGAAATAAAAAACATATAAATCTAAGTTACTATGAATAAGTTATGATAGATTAAAGATAAAAGATAAATAATAATAAAAAATTAAAAGAATAATTTGTATCTCAAGGATAAATTGCTTAAGAGATCAAGAATTTGAGCCTCACTAAGGCTCATGAGTAGTGTATATGGTCCCTAAGAGAGGCCACAAGGCCTTAGTCTTATCCTCCTAACTACCTTCAAGGTGCTACAATCCATATGGGACTTGTACACCTCCCTTCTTACAAAGACTACACTAGTTGCTAATCCTCCTATTTTCTACTAATAAAACTTATTTTTTATATTTTTTACTTCATTATGGTGTTTAAAAACATCCAATTATCCTTGGAACCTTGTGTGGCCTCCAAATCTTGCTCCATTTTTTCATAATAGCTACCAAGGTGGTAAAACTCATTTTTATCAAAGTCTAAAAAAATTACTCTAAAAATTCCTAAAAAATTCTAAATAAATTTTAAATAAATTCTAAAAAATCTTATGATGTTTTTATAATATTAATATCAATTTGAAGCTCTTTTTTACTTCCTAATTGGTTTTTTATAATAATAAAATTAATTTAAATCAACTATAAAACTTATTTCTTATATAACTAATTAAAAAGACATGGGATTCTTTTTCAAGCTTCTTCTAACTATTAACTAATATTTATAAAAAATTTATAAGTAATACATATAGATATAAGGCCAATTTAAATATTAATCCTAATAAATAATCCTTAATATTTAATAATAAATAAAAATACCAAACTAACTAAGATAATTGCCTCCAAGACTTATTAAGACTCCATTTCTACAACTAATATTTCAATTTTCTATTTGTCTAAAGATTTCTACAATATTCACCATATATTAAGATTTTTAAGAACTCTAAATGCATCTTTTTTTCCTAAAACAACTAGTGAATTAATTTGATGACTCACAAAGTGACTTTAATACAAAACATAAATCTCTTACTTGTATTATTCAATTGAATACACTATAAAGTAATTCTTTACTTTCCAAGTGGGAATCCATTCTACTAGATTAATCTTTTATAGATTGTTTGATATTTAATTAAACATTGTCAACTTACATAATATGCAGTTTTATTTTTATTAATGTTAAGTTTAGTAGCCCTACTAATGATATCTTTATCTTGGTGTAACTTTCATAGAAGATTAAGCATTGTTGCAATATATCTTTAGATAACAACTAAGTAAAAGAATTTTTTCTACTTTATCTTACTTGCTCTTAGACTTGATACAACTTTAATTTTCATTAAAGCTACTACTTCACTTGAATCTAGAGTAAGGTAGATTCACTCTTTATTTGTGGCTTTAAATGCTTATTCTTATTATGATGGATAAACTTAGCTCTAATTGCAAAATTTGGTCATCTCTTATTGTTAGGACATCAATTTTAATAGCATGAGATTGGAAAATGTTTGAGTTGATTCTATACTTGAAGTCGTTTATATAGCATATCAATCTCTACTTTGATTAGCATTCTTTAGTGACATTGATTTTATTTCGTTACTATTTATCTTCTTACAATATTCAATATGTTCAAAATAACCACATATTACTTATTTCTTGTTCCTATTCTATTATATTATAGGTGTTTTTTTGGTACACTTTACTATCTAATATCTGTAAATAAGTAAAATTAATTTTACTAGTGCCACTATCTTTTTAAAATAAAATATACTAATTTTTAAATTTAATTGTTATTACAGATTTACAATATTTTATTTTGTAATGGATATTTGGACAAAACCTATTACATATTGGCAGACTATGATAATCAATAAAAAATTGTTTTTTCTATATTTATTTGGGCACAAGCTTGATTACCAAGGTCTTAAGTTTCTACTTTTATTGAAGTTTAGAACTAAAAATATCTAGATTTAATAAATTAATTTTCTTTTTTCTTTTTTCTTTTTTTTTTGTACAGCTTCCAAAACTTTCATAATGTCAATTGCAACTTATAGAGCAATCTTCAAGTTCTTTTCACATAACTAAGTATGTTTTGAGAAGAAGTTTTGATTGTCATGATATCATCTCTTATGCCAAGATTCTATATTCCTTTTGGATCAAAATTAAGATCTTGTTCTTAAAATGTGAACATCTCTATTGGAATGCAAAATAATTAGTCTACATGTTTATCAATTAATAAGGCAAAAATCATTTAAATTATACATTTGCTAACAAATAGGGCAAAAATTTTGATTACATATTGGATTATGCAATCCATTTTTTCTTTACCTATTTCCTTGTTTACTTCAATTACTTAAAATAAAATAAGTATCAAATATGAAGTATATTTGTATAAATATCTAAAAAGTAGTAACTTACCAAAGTTGATATAATTGCACCAACAAACCAATATTACTACTACACAATCATAATAATTGTTAACAAACATCCTAACATATTTATACCTCAAGTACACATTAACAAATTATTTCATTTGTATTTATGTGGCAATCAGTCTCAAATAAAATATTTTATTACTTTAAACAATCTAATGTTTAAGTTTAATAAAAATAGCCTTTCACCAAATATTGTTCATTGACCATATACCCAATCATGAATATGTTCCATTCAAGCAAAAAGTTTCATACAGAATGTACTACCATAACCTACTTAAATTAAGGGAAATACTGATTTTTCTATTTTCCATGCCGCTACTTGAGATAGTTACTAAAGTTTGATCTAAACAGTTTTCCGAAATAGTAAATAAATTTTCTAATGTATGATTTCCACCAAACCAGTACTTCAATATTAGCTCCTCAGGTAGCATGTTGTAGGAAAGTTGAGGATAGCACGGCTGCACCTTTTCAAGCAAGGTGTACTTTTGAATGTTGAAGAAAGGCCGATAAGTAAAATGAGCCACAAGTGTGTCACGATGACCACAGATCTGGGCACGTGGGGCTTTTATCAGCTCTGAACTAGGCACGATTACTGCCTAGAACTACGGAAATCCTCAACCCATCAAAAAAAAATGAAGCACCAAATCCACATCACACTTAAAGCGATCACAAAAGCTGGATACCATGGTAAGCATAATTTGTCAAGTCAAAAATACTCGACAATAATGCAGCCGATAGCAAGTCCGTGTTGAAAACTGAGGGTCGGAGAAAGATACAAATGCACACTAAGCACAGAACATGTTCACTCTCCAAGCACCCACGTCCAGGGATTACAGACCTAATAACCTTTCTCTTATTCTTAGGCTTGGAAACGCAAAACTTAAGTACTCTTGAAGATCAAGGAGAACCTGGATCTCAGCAGCAGGATGAAGATGACGAAGCAACCCGTTTGCAATGCTTTAGCCACTTCTTTGCAGTGACATCCGTTCATCGTCATTGTGCTCCCTAACATGCTGTGGCGACAATCCAGTATCGAATTTACAGATCTTTCACGGATGTCCTCTCATCTGCCAGGTTGAAAATTTGACTTCGCAGATAAAACATAAAAATCCCATCAGCCCACTCAATCATAGTGCTGACGTGCTGGCCCATTACAGCTGCAGAAGATGGTCCAGAATGCCCAGCGGCATTTAAATTAGCGGAGGTAAGCATGCTTAACAAGATACTGGCCAGCAGACGACCAAATTTATCCTGCACAAGTTCACAAATTCTTGGTTTAATGCTAAGATCGCCTTCACGTCAAGAAATAAGAGGTATTGACCATCTCTTACATATCCGAGATATCAGCATTAAGAGAACATACAAAGTGCAGACTAAAGAACACAAGACCAAGAGCACTGCAACATGAAAATAAACTCCATATAAGTTTCCTGCAAGAGAGCAGCAAAGGAATAGGTTCCAGTGGCCAAATTTTGAATATTAACAGGACAACTACGTAATAAACCTTGTACACACGCTCAGTCAGGGTTGAGGCAAGAGAATAATATTCAATAACGTACCAAGCCAGCTGAGAAAAGGGTTATCCTCGTGGTTTTGACTGATACTGCGAGGCACTGGTTTGCCAATCAAAGTCCTTGTTTTTATCAACATCCTTGCTGCCTGAATGTTAGTCGACCTATTGTTTTCTGTTACTAAAAAGTACTCTCGGCAACCAGCATTGTTTTACATGTACAAACCTGTACACTACCAGCTCAGAGAAGCTAGCGGCCTGCAATGTGCAGACAAAAAATAATCCTAAGAAAAGCACTCCCCTACGCTGTAATTAGCCTCTTGGCTATCTTGTTCCTTTCATTCATAAGATACAGCAGAGAACTTTCAAAAAAAAAAAAAAAAAAAAAAAAAGAGAGAGAGAGAGAGAGACGCAAAGAAATTGCACAACACCTCATTTAAGGTGATAAGCAAACAGCCAAATATTCATTCAGCGTATTTGATATGCTTATCAAGTGAAAAGCACACGCTCTACACTTAAGGACCGAAATCCTATTGTGCTTAACACAGCCAGCAGAAAAAAGCTCCATTGGAATCAGATGGCTTCGTGGTTTTCTCCTCCATGAAAGCAAGGCAACTGTGGAAACGTCAATAAAGAAATTGCTCAATGAAGATTAAAACCTCATTCGGCATCAACATTGAACATTGCTTCGGCATGCCGTTGAGCTATGCCTGCACCTCCCATATAGTACTCATCTTCAGATCCCAAGCTTTCTTGCGATTGCAAATGGGAATCACGGTCCCAAGGTGCTTGAGTATTTATTCCCTCCCACCCCATTGGATGACCAGAATCTATACCAGGTAGTAAGGTAATGAACGGCAAATCCCCATCGTCTCTTGAGAGCCCGTTGTTCAACACCCGCGGACTGGTCAATGAACTACTCTTGTTATATACCAGCTCTGTTCGCCCAGCTGAGTAAATTGCAGAATTGTCGATAGACACCCCCAAGCCATCGGGAGAGAGCAAGTCCACCAGCCCAATCCCCGACGGCTCTTCAGCACCACTCGGAGAACCAGTCTCGTAAGCATTTGCACAGTGTTCAGAATTTTCAACATTGTCCTTCTTAGGCTTTTTCCAGCGCTTCGTAGAAGAAGTTCCATCGTCCTCGAAGTCTTCCTCCTCTCGTTCTGTATGAAGATAAACCCACAGCTTACGATCGCCATCAAATCGTACACAAGGGTCACGCTCATAATGCAGCCGGTCAAGTGCCCCACTTACAACCTGATTAACCTGTCAACACAATTCCAAAACGCGCATATTGTAGCACTACGAATAACATGAAGAAAAGTTGAGCTGAAATCCATTAAAATAGAAAATATTGAAAAATCGTACACAATTATAAGCGAAATAAAGTTAAGCGTGCACTTATGCCACTCTGCTATTTTGACCATATGAGTTATAAACAGAGAAACGCACAAACCAACATCAAGCCACAAGATCCAAAAACATAAAGCAACTTGGGCCAACATAGAACTTCATGGAAACACCAGTTAACCATTGTCGCCAAATCAACCTTGGCGGAATCCATATTGGACAAACCTGAGCATCAGACACATCCTCCATGATGAACTGCGAGTCTCGAATTAGAGCACAAACGTCTGCACGAGTGCCAATACTTCCAGGTAAACGAGCAGCCGCATCTCTCACTAAACACAAAATCGTCACGTGGGGAGGTCTGTCCGGCTTCAGCATGAAGTGATCCCTTGCCTTAGAGGTAGGTTTACCACCTCCTCTTCTCAGCGGAGCAACAACGGATTTCCCTCCATCTGCTGTCGTATAAGCAAAAGCTCGATCAGGTAAAGAATAGCGAAGAAGTTCCTGTCGACGAAAATAAGTTCGCATGTCCTCCGAACTAGGCGCAATCGTCATCAGACTCTTCTGGGCTCTTAAGTCTCGAAATCGCTCCTTCTCGTCAACAGGAACAGGCATGAGTGGAGGAGGTGGAAGTGGAAGTTGATCGATCTGCTGTAGTGTTTCCTGGCCGTGCTTTAGCCAACTTGCAAACATGTCCTCCAATTTCAGCAACGATTTCTGTGAAATACCCCACGCTTCTGCAGTTACCTGCACCTCTAACGCATCCTGTTCCATAGTAATAACAAACCGTTTAGAAAGTCTGAACACAGATAGAAAGACACTTCCACATACACCCGACCAGTTTTTGATACTGAGAGCTTAGAAAAGGAATACTCCTCGCAGTTGTAGATTTGGTAATGTAATCATAAAGAAACAGCTTAATCGAACTTGCTCCCTCACAGGACATAATTTCCCACAATCAAACTGACCACCATCTGATGCAAGTGCGTGTAATATCGCAACCATAAACGAATTCGATGAAAGTGGCAAGCAATTGATAATTAAATAAGCCTAGAATTACAAGATGTAGTAATGAACTAAAACTATATGACCGTATAAAACCTACATATATGAAGGAAATCAGAATCTGTTTTCACAGCTGACCTTCATACATGGCCGCGACTACGAAGGTAATGAGAGGAACTACGAACATACCTGAGAAGAAGTTGAAGCTACAGGAACGGGAGGTGGACCAATCCATGACCATGTTCTCATTTCTTTGTTGAAAGAAATCAAAGGCTTCCATCCTTTCGTACCAGCTGGTGCCACTTTGCTTCCCATTATTTTAAGAGCTCCCCGCACAAGATCCTGATGTTCCAATAAAAATGTTACACAAATTTCACGTAAAACAAAGGATATGAAAGCTCCGGAGACTTAATCTTGCACACAGATACATATTTGACGAGCACATGATACAAAGTAGTTATCCGCAGGCAATTAAAAGGCAGGTAAAATATTAGTATGTATGTGCATATTAGCATCATCGCTCTTCCCATGAAACATCAACTAGATAAGCCACTGAAAACAACATTCTCTAATCATAACATGTCACGAGCGTCGTAGCTGTTAACCCACCTGTAAAGGTTCCATTGTCTCCAAAATTCGATGATCGCCAGGGTTCTCACGCACTCTTCTCACGAGCTCGTTAAATGGAACCCCACGAAATAAGTGAAGTGTTAGCTCCCCGTCTCCCTCCTTACTTTCAGCCCTCTCTAAACCTGAAGCTCCGGTTATTTGAACAATATGACCTAAAAGACTTCCCTCAGTAAATGGAAGATCGAAATCTAATCTTTCACGGGCATAGGGTGTCCTCTCAAGTTGGCCGTGATATTCAGGCTCTCCATCTACAGAGTTGGTGATCAACGCCGTTCGTACAGCTGACAAAAGGTGCATAACCGAGAAGGGAAATGTGGAAGCAAGTGTTGGGGGGGCTATTGGTGCGGGTTTCTTTGATGTTTTGGTTGCACTTAAAGGAGTCTTCTCAGGAGGCGAACCTAGAAAACGAGGAAAATAATGTTAGGTGTCATATTCACATCAGCGACTCAGTAAGTTGCACCAGACAAGCGTTTGTACACACATAGATATCAATGCTCGTAACTGAGCCACAAATTAAAGTTTCGGGCTCAGGAGCCATTTAGTAAATCGATCAACATAAAAGCCGGAACATAAGTTTGTATTACTATGTTTCGAGTACTGCGCCACATAGCATATACCTCGCAACCAGGGTCACCTAGGCTCCCATATTGTGATTATGTGTAGCAAGTTACAGAATATAAGTTTAATTTACCAGCATGAGGGGACGACCCCCCAGGTGAAGTCATCAACACCTCCGCCTTAGGCTTCTTCTTGGTTCTCTTTTTCGGCTTTATTCCTACCTCTTCCTTGGACTGATCAACTTGATCTTCATCGACATGGAGATCGAAATGCTTCTCGTCGATTTCATCGCTCGGCCGAAAGTCGTCTTCTACAGCCCGGTTCTCCTCTACAACAATCACTTCTGGCTCTTTCGTAATCTCATCTATCTTCTTCTTCCGATGAACCTTCATCTTTGGTTCTCTCCGTCTCTTTGCTTTCTCTACAAGTAGTTTCGTGTCCTCAAAAGGAGATAGTTCGTCCACATGTGTTTCGGGCATTTCTGAAGGCACATGTTGCTTTTCCACCTCCTGGATCTGGTTTTTCTTCTTTTTCCTCCTCACGACCTTTTCGCCCTCTGTTGTCCCACTTCCAATATCTGCCATTTTGCGTTTCTTTCCACCTGGAATCTTCTGCTTCGTTTTCTTCTCAACAAAAGTTTCATGAAGCGGGATATAGAGTTCCAGAGGAGAGGTAATTACCTCTTGTTCAAAAGGTAAAAAAGGCTCCTCCTCGTACTCATCCTCTACCAATTCATTCACTTCTTCCCTCTTTATCTCTGTAACTGGGGCTTTCCCTTTTACAGCAAGAGAGGCAGTTTTTTTCAATATGCTCCTGCCCTTCGGCATCAGTTTCAACACCCCCTTTGGTCTAGGCTTAGGGATCCGCACAGGTTCCTCCTGCTGCTCCGCTCTTTCTATCTTCTCAATATCCACCACTCTTTTTGAGGGACCCTCTGAACGATCCTTCGTTAATGATTTAATTTTAAGAACTCCCTTTGACCCAGCTGCTGGCTCCACAAAACCCGACCTTTTCTTTGAGGGTGCTAGAGCACCAACCTCACTCCTGCCCTTCATCAGAAATTTCCCTTTTTTGGGTTGCTCAACGGCCTTCATCTTCAGACCCACCTCTGGTATTATTCTCTGAGGACCAGCCTCGATGCTGGCCTTTACCCTTCTAATAGTCCCAGGTTTACGAACCACGCGTTTAGGTTTGGACAAAGGAAGCGGTTGAGTCTGAAACCTGTCCCAAACTCCTAACCTCTCATCAATATCCGCATCAGGACAATTCTCCCATTGCTTTTGCATTTCGACGAAGAGACAGACCATATGATTGTGATAGTGCCGCAACAAATGATAATGCTCCTTCCGTTGCAAGTATTTTAGACCTTCTCGGTATCGTGATACACGCGGATGACATGAGCCTCCTTTTAACCTTTCGAAAAGATCATTCATTGGACTAGTGAAGTGAAAGATCTCTCCTCTCAGCAAGTCTCGAACGGTATCTTTGAAAACCTCTTCATCTTCGATAGGAGGGAGATGCAATGCAAGAGACTCCCTCTCTTCTTCTGCCAAATCAAAGACGATCCTCAACATGTTATGATATGAAAGTTCCGAACCGATCACATTAAATGAGATAATCAGCACATTTTTTTTAAAAAAAACCAAATTTCACGATCAGTTAAGCCTATGATACAAGCAAGTCAATGACCGAAAAGAAAAATCGTAACTGCAACGGCGAAACACTCAACATCGAGTTGCGCGTAACTTCCATTGTAATCAAACTCACACTCTGGTCACAATCAGCCAAACACATCCAGAAATCGATTCTAAAACACTCCTCAATCTTGAAAACCACTCAAAACCGCTCAGAATTCCTTGTAACAATGGCAGTCAGCGATCACATTCGAACTGAACCCAAAAAAAAAAAAAAAAAAAACAATGAGCGCGCTTCAGTTTCCGACCTGTTAAGCAATAATTCCATGTATTCAGCGAAAGAATGCCCTTCAAGCTTGGAAGATCGAATAGCTGTGAAGGCACGGTGCACATATCATCGCCAATTTGGCAAACCTCGCTGCCCCTCTCCGTAACTTCATCTTCCGAACCTTCAGACTCACCACCGCCGCCTCCTCCTCCTCCTCCTCCTCCTCCCCCTCCTCCTCCTCCTCCCCCTCCTCCTCCCCCTCCTCCTCCCCCTCCTCCTCCCCCTCCTCGGGAATGCCTATGGCGTGGCCGCGCAGGCGGATTATCATCGGTGGAGGAACCGGACATGGTGTTGCCACGACTGGGAAGAGATGCGCTCCCGATCATGGCCATCTCTCTATCTATCGCCTCCTCTGCAATCCTTCGCCTCCTCTTCCTCCTCCACCACCACCACCACCCCCGCCGCCACAACGTTCTCGCAATCTCGCAGAGCTTTCTTCTGCAATCCCCTCATGCCCTACACATCCTCCAGGCTCCTCCCCACCATCGCCAACACCTTCACCAACCATGCCAATCACATGGCTCCTCGATCTCAAACTTCCCCTCCCCTACTACAACAACACCACCACTACCACCTACACTGCAATTGCTCCAACGCACCATTGGCTCCTCCTCCCTTGTCACCCCATCGCACCGAGCCCAGTCACGCGACCACGGCGCTTCGAGGAGCCCGCGCAAGATAGGGTTTGAATCTCCATAGCCATACCCACGGTGATGGCGAGGTTCTCTACCACGGCTAAGGGTGCCCCTTCCTATTCTAACCCTAACAAACACACACAAACAAACAAACAAACAAACCTCCACAAGTGCTTCTTCTTCTTCACTCCATTGCCCTTCTTCACAGCTTGCTCTCACTCTCTCTCTCTTTCTTCACAATAGTTGTTAGTTGTTGTGTTTTTTGGATGGATGCTGTGCCTTCGCATGGGTTTGTTGCTGCTGCTGCTGTTGTTATTGTGGTTGCTGTTGTGGGGCCTATTGATCCATGGAGCTCTTGAAAATCTCCTTGTTGTTTCTATTCTGCAAACCCATGTCCCCAGTCTTGACTGATTCTAAGTTATACCCTTGTGTCCAGTTCCTGCAGTCCCTTAAATCCAGCACCCATCTTTTGTGCCTCATTCTTCCCTGAATGGATTATACTAATTTAGAATTGTATATGAATATGTTTTGTGTTTGTTTGTAAATCAACTACCACTTAATTTGCATTCTGCATCAATTAACTTGTTTCCGTAATGAATAGTTGAGTACCAGTTTACTATATTGTTTAAATGGGTACTTTTTTTTTGTGTTTAATTAATTACTAAAAATATTTGAAGTCAATAATATTTAGTGTTTCTTGTTTACTACTCAGTTCCAATCATTACAAATGATTACAAATATGTGATTAAAAACAATCCAAGTCATCCTCTTCTCCTTTAAAGTGCGTATTATGTCCACCAATTGTTATGAATTACCTACAATTATTCACCCATATCATTTCATGTATAACATGGTCACAAGATTTTATCTGTTTTAAAGTGGTAAACTCGTTTTAAAAATTAACTCGTTTTAAAATTAACGCACTAATTTGAAACTTTTAAAATCATTCATGATTTCCTTACAAATTATGTTTTGTTACGTAGACTTTGGTTGACCATTTGTCAATTTCACATTAATATTTTTGGCACTATTGTATAATGATACTACTATTTTAATACTATTCTTATTTCATTCTTAATTTATTGGTTGATTAAAGCTTGCCATTGATTCCACCAGATAACTTACACACAACTGCATCAAATCGACTTCTTTTCACAATACAATTTTTTCTTTTTGTCCTTTTTTAAGTGATGGAAGAAAACATACTGTATTGGAACGTGCAATTACAAAATAACATTTGATTTCAAGTTCAAATCACAACAAATATGAAAAGGCAATGCAATCGAAAACAGTATGTAGAATTGCATTTGAAAAAATTAGAAAATTTATGTGGCTTCTATCACAAACCTTCTCCCACTTACAAACAAACAAACAAAATCACCAATTGAATTATGGATGGTTTGCAATGCTACAACTTGAAGGTCGTAATTAACATTGAATCAGTTAACATGAATGCAACCAAATAAAACCAAAATTCATATTTTAAGGTAAGATAAAATCTCTAGGATATTGATCTTTCAGTAATCTTTATTGTTTATAGACGAGAAGATATTTATAAGAAGGTATATTAATTTTGATATTCGAATACAATACTTTCCCTTGGTATTTTTTCAGAAATAAAATTTCAAAAACTCAAAAATCAATATGACATTCTCTAAAACAATGAAGTTGCATAATACACGGCAGTCAAGAAATAACCGTGGAATAAAATTGATAGAATCAGTTAAAAATGCAACCACGATAAGGAATACTTTTTAGTTAACAAGTAGCAAAGCTACTAATTCCAAGCACATCAAAAAGAGAAAAAAGGATGTTAATTTAGTCATCTAAAGGTGTGAGCTTTATTAGCCTAAACTATGCACGTGTGCAACAGCTATTATTGCCGCGACAACTCCAATCATTTAAGAATGGTTTGTGCGATTGTGACGCAAAAGACATCCATTTTCATGTTTGATCCATCCATCAATCAATGGGTCAACTGTCTCAATGACAGATTCATGCAGCACGTCTTTGGTTTGTATCGAAACAGAAGAAGAAGTAGACGAAGAAGACGTAGGAGGAGATATAGAAGAAGTTCACTCTTTCATTCACTCAACAGTTACTTGAAAGACCAGTAATATTCAGAATATGCTAATTGTATCCTCTTTTGGAGTTGAAACATATATTTAGACATGAGGTCATTGACCGTACTTTACTAATTGAGGAAATTTGAAGCCGTTGCCATTGCACATTGATTGATGAGTGAGGAATGAAAAGTCGAGCATCATCGTTTTGGCTCCTCTTGAAGTTTCATGAAATAGCAATACCATCAACTTCTGGATCATGTAAAAATTCACCCAATGTGGATGTCACGAAGTCAAATACAATCGTAAGTTACAAAAAGTATGTAAGAATTCATAGTGATTTGTCGCTTGAAGAAAATGTTATCCATCAAAGGCTTCAGTATTGAAACTCAATTTCTTCTACAACCCTTTTCACACACTAAGGGTCAACTTTCATAACAATCATTCATTCACTTACTTACATGGTTGGTTAAGTCGCAGTTTCTCTCTGTGAGACAACGCCTTCTGGTTTAACCATTCTGGCTGACAATCATTCAGGTGTTCTCCCTCTACGGATAGCAGCAAAATGGAGCTTAAGAAAATTCATGATTTTATTTCCCTGATTGCTGTAACCATCTGTTGTAATTTATTGTAATGTCAGGTAAGACGAACCCAGTTTCGTACACGGTAACACAAAAGAGGACCCCCCTTCTGCAGGTATCTGGCAATTTTGGATTCCAAGAAACCACTCTAACAGCCCTTAAGGTATGAAATTCTCAACGCGAATCTCCTAAGGCGGGTACCTGACGAGTTCCCAAGATGTGGATTGGGGTATTGTTTGGGGTATTGGGGATTACCAGCCGTAACAGCACCACATTCAAAGATCATCGCTCCTGCTTACGTGCTCTAACCTCGGGCTCATCATAGCAGAGCTCAAAATACGGAGAACTAAAAACGAATAACAAGGGCAATTCTACACAAACAATTCCACTTCAGGTCTTTAAAAGTCTTTATTTGGAAAAAGTTCAATCCTTATTCATTCTTGTAGCATAGCAAGTATCATATCCATCAGTGACCCTCAATACAACCATCGCCATTTCTAAAAAAAGAGAAGAAACAGTGCCGACGCAGCACAATTCCCAACCCTCGCCTCTGATGCTGCCAAAAAATAATAAAATCAGCTCACATACGCACAAAAAGTATGGACAATGTAATCCAGAGTTCATTTAGAAGGTAATACTCATCATCAATATCGGTTTATTGATGGTGTATCAGATTAGAAGCATCAGAATTCCCCTGGTTTGCAAGTCTTCAACTACCACCACAAATGCCGATGAAGTAGCAGGCTTGTGCTGAGCATTATCTAAAATGTATTCGCTGTTCCATGGATCATACAGACGTATAAATCTTAAAATCCTCTGCACGCAGGAAATGTCAAGATATGTCAAGAATAATTTCTGTGAGCCAACCAGTCACCACAAAAGCCTACAGAAAAATTAGATAAACGTAACAAACGCTGCTAGTGCACCCTCACAGTGGTTCTGGCAGCGTAAAAATAGTTGGGTAAATATGAGATAATATACCTGGACCGCCTGTTAGTAATCCACTTCAGTTTCGATCTGAATTCCTTCTTAGCGATTCGTTTGTCACGCTCTTTCCTTGCTAGCACCTTGAGCTCAGATGGTTTCCTGTAATACTCTCGTTCTCGTAACAATTTGATACCATTATCATCCTTCAGCCTCCTCTTCATTTTCCGAATGGCCCGCTCCAAGTCATCGTTGGTAACCTCTACCATCACAGTCCGCGTTTGTTGTACTCCACAACCCAACATGTTACTACATTGAGGAACTAAGTCAACTTTGTGTCCCCAAAGACTTTGGGGAACACCTAACCTGAGTGTGGAGTTGGAAACCGTTCTTGCTTTTGGCCACAATGTCCCTTTGCATCCATGTCGCTGCGCGCTGTTCACTACGCTGGATGTGTACTGAGTCATGAAGTTTCTGATGACACCGTGGAGATGTGAGCTCTTTTGACCTGCGATAATAAAGAGTTGAGAAATAAGGCATAGATGAAAGACGAACAGCAAAGGTGGTGCATTCTTCGAGAGAATACATGGACATTCGACATGATCACTCACGAGCAAAAAGAACCTACCCTCAAAATCTTGCGCACTCATGAGCGTGGGCCTCGTGTTAAGCCAGGAGGCAGCTTTGCTTGCCAACCTGCATCTTTGCGGAAGGTTCCGCTGCATCAACCATTTCAATCACCAATCAGTACGAGCTGGGGCATGACAATTTGAATGATGTCGCTACTTTCAAAGACGCTCTAAGCTACGTGTAATGATCGAACACATTTTACTCTAACCAACGCCTCAAATGCTTCCAAAATCCCCAAGTCCTAGAAAGAAACATAATTCTTCGCTCGCGCACAACTCAGATCCATGCAGAAATTCTCAATAAATTAACACGAAAAAAAAAAAAAAAAAAAAAAAAAAAAAAAAAAAAAAAAACTAGTTGTAAACCCTCAAATTCTCCAGGTTTTCCAAACGAAATAATATGACTCCAATTTGTTTCGAACAAATAAACGCTCGTCTTTGTATGATTTGCACGCTCATTATGTGACTAACAGAACCTGTCAGCCCATAGTCCAGAAGACCTAACCTAGAAATAAACCAGCGCACGCCGAAACGCACAGGGACACAGAATGAAACACATGTACACACAATCCACAAAAACTTGAAACACAAGCTCGTCTTACAAGAACAACCGCCATTGAGCACCCGATGCGTCGACGAGCAAGTTCAAATTCTCCCAGAAGGACTACTGCAGCAGATGCTCCACGTCGCTAACACATTACGCTACAACCCACAAAATCGTTTCGGGTTTTCGATCGGTGTGCTGCATTCCGAGAAATCGACCCCGCGATGAGAAGTTTAGGGTTTCTCAAAACCCCCAATGGCTGAACAAGGCACTCTGAGTAGCACTGTTTGGGGTCCCAATACCGCGGTACTTGTGACCGTGATCGACCTATAACCGCCATTCAGGAATACATTGAATTCATCGAGGTCACAACTATTGCTTTGCATGAAAATGTACCCCCTTTAATGCATTACTTGCTACAAAAACCTTTTGGGAGTTAAATGTGATAGTTTAATTTTCAAAGTTTATAGTTTAATTATATCCTTCATTCGTTTTTGTTAAATATCTTCAGTTTTAATATGTTTTTATATACATGATTTTGTGATTTTCAACTGCCATTTCATTTGGATGGCCAGTACATCTTATACACTAAAACAAAACAAAACAAAACAAAAAAACGTAAGAAAAATAAATCCTGTTTAATTTATCAAAATATTATGTGTATTGTGTTGCTTGTAGGATGTATATAAGGGTATATTTATTTATTTAATTATTGGCAATTTTAAAACCATCCTCAGTAATGGCAACACTTTAACTGTGAAGTTATATTATATGTAAGTAAATTTTCAAGGAATGTATTCAGTTATTTATTTGAATTCTGATTCTTTTAATATTCTTAAGATGGATATGAGGTAATTTTAGGCTTGACAAAAATACTGGTCATTACATAAGAGATTGAATAAAAATAATAGTTTGGAATACAATGTCAAATGATTGATAGCAATACACAAATTGTATAAATAAATACATGTGTATATACACATACAAACCACATTTTCTATTTTGTGTACATTATTATGACGTGATAGTCATTGATTTAAAAACCACTATAAAGTCATAAATCTAAAAACTTTATCATAGATTTCTTCAACTAATAGTGCTTTAAAAAAAATTAATATATTAATTATAATTTTTTTTCTAATATTCAAATATTAACATAAAATAAACATTTTACATGGCATATAGATGTAACAAGGGTGTATGCATACATATACATACAACAAGAAGTTTATGAAAAATAAAATCAAATAAATTGGACCACAAATTTATATATTTAGAAAGTCTTTGATATATAATTTATTATATATTTGTTAACCTCAATTTTTAATATATATATATATATATATATATATATATATATATATATATGTATGTATTTATGAATTTATATTTTTAAACTTAAGCATTGAAAATAATATTATTAAGATGTTATGTATGTATATATATATATATGAAAGTGGAAACTCATGTTGATGGGCACAAGTTAATAATTTTTTTTGATTTCAACCAATGAAAAGTTTTTTTTTGCTCTTAGTCTTATATCAAAGTTTCATTATTATATAAATAACTCAAAATATATATATATATATGTATAATTATCAAGGAGATGCATGCTAATAATTTAAAAGCAATGACAATTGTTACTATATTTTCTTATTCATTACTTGTAAGAATATGGTAGTATTTCAATTGCATCGACCACACTGTAGTTGTTGTTGTGATTTTGTGACATTTTCAAAAACAATTTTGTTTTGATCAATGCTTTAGTGGACAAACCCCTTATCTTTATTGCTTGCAATTGAAGGCATTCATTTGCATTAGCAGCTTAAGGAATTGATGGAGTCTTTTATGGATGCTACTTATTGCATTTTAGCAACAATTTTACTTGTACATTTTAAAGAAAAAATGGGTATCTAGTCTTTAGATCCCTACCTAGTAAGTTGTAGTGAGGGCACAAGTATCAAACCTTATTACGAAAAAAACATCCTTCCCATGCTAGATTAATTGTAAGTAGCATAGACAAAGACCAAGTTGTTGGGGTAGTGATTAAAATACAATTGCCTTTGACCACATGACAAAAATACAATAACAACATTAAAAATAGTATTAAGGTAGATGCAATACAATGCTTGGTGGATATAATAATAATTTAAGTGTAAATATCAATTTTTTATTTCTATGTAAAGATTTAAAGAATAAACTACCAAATATACAATATCAACTTGTTACCATATTGTAAAACAATATATTTATTTATTTATTATTCATAAAATTTTAACTTCAATTATATATTTATATAAAAGCTAAATGCATTAAAAAATATATATTAATTTAAATTACTATTTAGATCATACTCAAAGGCATATTTAATAATGTTTTAATAATAATTGCAAGTGGCAATTGACATTTGAGAACTTTTGGAAGTGAAAATTGATAATAATATTTATAATATTTTTAAATATTTTTTTAGTTTATATTTGAAGAAATAAAATAAATATATAATTTTTATTTATTAAATTAGTTATTTTGTAAATAATAGTTAAATTTTGATTGTAGTAGTCTAACAATTTGATAAAGATTTCAATTTGATAACAACTTAAAAATCAAATTGCAAATTTTACAATTACAAACTTAAGAAATATAAGCAAAAGAGATGTCGGAAAAAACTTAAGTCCAATACTTGGCTGATCCACAAGATTGTAGAGCTCAATGAATTTGAAAACCATCTCAAATAAGATTTAATTAGATTGAAGATTGGCAACACAAAGGCTATAAAGTAATAGAATGAATATAATAGAAGGTTAATATAGACAATCATTTTAATATGCTATTCAAACCAGTTTAAATAACATGTTACATCTTTAAAAAAAATGATCAATTATTTTTATAATACACTTAACTTAATTGAATAAATTATTGATTAATCTTATTCTAGTTTATAAAAATAAATAAATAAATAATCATGATTATTTAAACCAATAAATTTTATGTTAAGATGCATATTGAACAAAGTTACGATTAATATAAATACATTACTATATTTTGTTGAACCTTATAATTGTACAATGCCATTAAGGAAATAGGAACCAAGAAAGTTCTTGAATTTAATAAGATTGGTGTGGAGTTTTTAAAACTTTCTTATATATCATAAAGGAATTTTTTACAAAATTAATCAGTCATTCAATCATAATTAAGGTTTTTCCTTAAAAAAAACGTAATAGAAACATTATTCTAGTTTAAAATAACAAATTTATAGTTCTTTTTGGAAACTTGAGTTCTTTAACTTTAATAAACATATTGTAAAAATATTTGCAAAAAACTTATATCCTAAGCTTTGATTCCTTGTCGTGGAAGTTATTAATCCTTACTAATGTGTATTTTTACCACATAATTTTTTTTAGTGATATTTTAGTGACACTAGAAACTATAAGCTAAAATATATATATATATATATATATATATATATAATCTTTATTGGTATAAAATTTAGACTTTTCTAAGACTTGTAATAAATTCTTACATATCTTATTTTTATTGTAAGTAAATTATAATTTTAGACAAGATTTATTCATTTATTTGAAATCTCTTTTTGTAAAAATTAAATCAAATTTTTGTATGGATGATAATGTAATCAATTCATATTTCTTTTATCATATCAAAATTTTATCAAATTCAACTTAACGATCTCTAAAAATACCTTAATTTAAGCCTTAAAAAAACTTTCAAAATACAAAGAATACATTTTTATAGCAAGATCTTTAATTCACTTTGCTTGAGTTTCACATAACTTCTCAATGCAGTACAAATCTATACAAAAATGACACACCATGTATTAAAGGGATTAACAATGTGAATACTTCAAAGTTTTTAAATAAAACGCCAGCAAAATTAAACAAAAAATCATTATTTGTTACAAATTTAAAAGTTTAGAATTACTTGGTTCTTTTCAGGAACATTTACTTTTTAAACACTATGGATTTGGAAACTGTCCTTACTTTCTGCAAGAAATGAAACATGAAAAGACAAGACATTTCATTTGGACAAGCCAACAGAAATATGATAACACAAAAGAAAATTACATGCATAATTACGAAGTACATAGATAGAAGTCATGACCTTCTTGAATAATGGAACAAATCTTCAATTACAATCAAATCTAATAGAAACCGAAGAAAGAGTGAAAATTGGGAGATCCCTCACAGCAGTCCGATTGCACATACAACATATTACCTTCTTTAATTGTGATTGCACACACCTTTTCGACCTTGAATCGATGATGGGTAGGTTCACATGCTTTGAGACTCGCAGTTCGTCTAATGGGGTGATGATCAAGTAATGTGTTCCCCGAAGCTGCCATGCATAATCCCAATTGACGAGCTGCAGTGATAAGGTGCGAAGTCAAAGCAGTGGTCATGCAATTTGATATTGATATGAGTGGGAATCAACATTACCGACGAGGTGTTATAGACCCGTCTGCGATGCAAAAGATACCAATTTCTTACCTTAACGTCACAGCAATGCATTGCATTGCTTTCACGCTTGCTCGCGCAGAACAACTAATTTCTACAAGACTGTAGTGAGGCTTTGCACGACAATTGCACTGGAGATTGTACATTCCGTGAGGTAAACTGAGATTATCAAGCATGATAAAAAAAATTCTGCACATGAAACCAACTCGTCACCACAGAAAAAATCGCGTGTCTCCAATCAAAGAGATAACATTTATTTGATGAGTTCAACTTGAACAGATGGTGGTCCTGTCAGCAGACCGCTCAAACCTGTTCTTCACAATAGAATAATATCCTCGACTGTATATTACATTTCACTGGGCCGAAGAAAAACTTGCGGCATCGCGTCTGAGATGATTCTAGCTACTGTTCTGAATAAGAATGATCAGATAATTTCAATTTCGATTCGAACCTTCGGGTATAGAGTCCACCGTGAATTTGGCGGAGATTTAATGTACACAAGGTCATGAAGCTCTGCTTCAGAGTTGCAGAACCTCCAGAGATCTTCAGCGGCTTAGAGAGAATCCACAAAATCATGCTCCGTGGTCATGTGTCGTGGACGAAGAGGAACTTTAGGGTTGAGCTTCGGGAGAACGCCAAAAAACCTGGCTTTCAATGCCATGACTGTAGTATCAACAATCTTAGCGTCGTCCGCAAGAAAGTCACGGTAGATGTAGAGACAGTGCTCCCGTCTAAATTCAATCTCTCCCTTGCTGAGACTTCGGAGCGTCCTCACAATTCTCTGCATCTGAGAGGAGGGGAATACCAACAAACACCTCCTCCAATCAAGGAGAGATTCAAAAGGAAGTACGAAGTTATCAGAAATAACAACTGGGATTGAACCGGCAGACAAAACTTCCAGCAGCCGAGACGAGCTCGATCCTCTACCAGCTTGAACAAGACCGAATGTGGAATCCATCAGCTCTCTAGTGGTGTACTGTTCGTACACGGACTGGTCCTGTACACACTCGGCTCGAAGTTCAGGGCGGCTCAGCAAAGCTTCAGAATTCGGGTCCTGCAATTGAACCAGAGCATGCGGATAGTAAGCACAAACTCATAAACTGGAACGGAAGACTTACAGAAGAAATAAAATTTTGGAGAAACTTGAGGCAGAAGAGTGCAAGTACCTGCTTGCAAGTTATGGCGATAATAACGTCCTCTCCATTGTGCATCGACCTCAAAACCGGGTTGATACGAGATCCTGAACTTCCCAGAAACTGCATCCCCGTGAATGTCAAGAAATACTTCCTTTCAAATGCCTTGAGTCCTTGCACATCTGAGTAAGACCTCTTCTGGGGAAGGGCAACGCTAATGTCGAAACCTGCACGGTAGGACGCGTGATGCGCTATGGATGTCATTGTAGACGCCATTTCAATCGTTTCGACGGGAGTTGCTTTTCTCTGAACCCAGAAATCTGAGATGGATACAATAACATGGTTAAGGCCGTGGTTCCAGTACGGCAGAGTAGGCAAGGAGGGAATTTTTTCGGCTCTCCTGTCAACGGTGACGAAATACAAGCAAGCTTTTTCTGGATCTGCGGTGTAGTAAGGACTTCTTTCCAACGCATCCTTGAAGTACCACGTCTGAGAATCCAGTGTATCATATAGGTAGATTAGGAGCTCCTCCGCGTTGTCGCAACGTGAGTAGTCGAAACACGAATCCATTGAGCAGCTGGAAAATTTATTCGAGATTCTATCCCCAACAGAAGAATAAACAGGATCCAGAGAATCCACATCCCGCGTAATTGTCTTTAGGGGTTTTGGGTGAAGAAACACTGGGGATTTGGTGGCGTTAGTGGCTTGAACTTCAGACGACTTCGCATAATTTCCCACGCTCACGAAGCTGACTATCATTAGTCCGAGAATAATGAAGTTGAAGAGCCCATACAAGAATTGTAAATAGGGAGAGATCTTTGGTGTTGGAGCCTCCTTAAGCGTCGACATCCTTCACCAGCTAAGATAGCTTGTCAGCAGAGAAAATGATCGATCCTAGAAAGGTTTCGCGCAACTATCTTAATCACTCTTTCAGAGACTGTGAAATTACTCTTAAAAGGAGAAGTGGGCACTAAATGCTCGCACCACTACAACTCGATGTCCAATTTCAATGGAGGAAAACCTGAAGTCCACGCCAGACCTTCTGTGACAAAAATCACAAGGACTACTCGGAAGCAAAACTTGAACTGTTGTGATCGCGAAAGAAATCACTATGTTACAATTTTCTAAGTGCAGCGTTGGGCAAGTAAGACCAAAATTGCCTAGCAATCACCAACAAATCGGAGATGGCAAAGTAGGACTTCCACTCTTGAGTCTACAACTCACGAAAACACCACCCCCAGCTCGGCCGGATCAGAGGCTCAGCAAAGTATCCTTCCCTATCGCCCAACGGGTAGAGAGAGAGACACAACACATAAACTATCACAGCTCAGAATCCTAAAATTCTAGTGGGCAACTGAGCCCATGAGTCGAAGTCTCCGCGTGAAAAGAAACGCAAAGCTCACTTGGGAGGTGCATTCGGGCACAAACTGACATAAGAAGTGAAGTGCGGAGGGGGGGGGGGGGAGAGGGGACGAGGAAATTAGCAGGGTAGGCGAAGAAAGCGGATATATCTGAATTAAAAAGGCAGGGTAGAGGGGGAGGCAAGACTGGCGCGCACGGAGGTTGAAGGGATAAGCTCAAATATACCCCCACGAACGAGTTGCCGGGATCGACAAAGCGCAGAGCAAGGGGCGGAGGGCGCCAAGTCCCCCGAGCAAGCGAGGAAGCCCACCTCCGTCGACGACCACGACGACGCTTTGCTCACGATTCCTCCCTCTCGTCGTCGTCCCCATCACCCCCATACTGCCATTTCCCAGCAGCGCTACCCTTCCCGACGTCCCGGTACACACACATATGTCTCTCGGACGCACAAAGCCCACGATTCCAGTTTGAATTCCACCGGATTAGAAGAAGAAGAAGAAGAAGAAGAAGGAAAAAAATAGAAAACAATAGAAAATAAAATGGTGCCTCGGGAGTCACGCCAGTGGGTAAGCCTCGTCGCCACTGTGACCAGAAACAGTGCTTCTACTTCCTTTGAATATAAGCGCGTCAAAATTATGTGTATATATAGATTTTATAGGGCATTTTAAATTTGGAAACACAAACAAATGCTTGAGCCTGACGTGACGCGCGTAACCAGCAACAGCAGCAGCACCCTCTTCTTTTTTCTAGAATAGGTAATAATCTGAGCCCGAGACCGGTTTTTCGCCCAAGTCCACCTGGCGCAGATGGGATACTATTCTGACATTTTTGAATGTGGCCCTGCATCGTCGGACGTGGCTTCCAAGGAGTGTAACGAGACCCTTCATTTATCTCAGGTAGAAGGTTTAGGGTTTAGGGTGTTGATGGCGCACATTCATTACTCTACCCACATTTTTATTTATGGAGCAGATATAAAACGACTGGTGGATGTTTAAAAGAAGGTACTGGAAGCCCCGCTTGGGTATAAAATAGATAAAAAAGGAAGAAAGATAAAAGAGTGAGTTAATGCAGTATATTTAGTGACCTGTGGAAATGTCAAGAAAATACATATGCTGCGTTTGGTGTGGGATATGAAGTTTGTCGGATATCGAGCAAATACCTGCACTATCCTGTTGGACAATGACTCAAGCTAGGCAGTCCTATTCACATTCAACAGTAGAGTGATTTCATGTTCATGAGTGGATTCGCCCAACAGCGGAAAAATATTCATGTATATATATATATATATATGTGTGTCATTTCGGCAGCAGGCTTTGAAGGATCTGGAGCTATGATGAACGAGAATATCACCAAAGAAGAATGAAATCCATTCCTTCCACCCGAATTGTAGCTCTATCCTGTTCTAAACCCCTGTTACTCGTCAATAACTACAATATATAACTTCGTATGTGTGGGTGTGAATTCGTGATTGTAATGGCATAGCAACAACGCCAAAGGGAGAGAAAAAGCAAAGCTGAGCCTTGGTCCCGCTTGGCATGGAGATGAAAAGGAGATCCAGGCAAGGGAGGGCAATGAGGAAGAGATGATGACAGGGATCCCTTGACAGGAACCATCATGCAAACCTTGAAGGAAGGAAGGGAAGGAAGAGATATAAAAGCATGACTTCAAAGGGAAGGACTGAAGGAAGGAAGAGGATAAAGCAGAAGAGAAGCAGGTGACGAGGACACACACAGCACCGTTGGGTGGTGGCGGGAATGAGGCTGTGCGGAGCATCTTCCCCCCCCATATCCAAATCCACGTCACCATGCTACCAGTCACCACACCAGCAAGCCTCACCCCCGCCACGTGGAATCTCGGAAGGTCGACATGACCCGCCACATGGACCAAAGAGAATGGTCAGACTCCATTTTCGCGCCACCGCAGCAGCTTGTCTGTGGGGCAGGAGGGGGGATCTTCGTTGTGGAGGTTTTTGGTGCCTGATGTTGTGAATTGCTGCTGCTGCACTGGAACACATTTCGGCACGTGCAGTGATCGCGGGGCCACCATCGCCGGCGCCACACTTCATCCGGATCAAACGGGCGCAAGTCAGGTGATCCGAGTTGGTGCCCCGTCATGGAATTTCAGTGCCATGATCCGAAGCCAGTGTGACGATGCCGCCATGTGTTCCGATGCGGTCGCCGTTTGTGTGCGTTGTACTGTTTCGTCGTTCCATCTCTGGATGCAATATCCCAACAACTGTCTTGAGGATCAACCCAAAGGGTCGCTCCTGGAACTCTCCGGCGGGTAAAGTGAAAGCCGAGGGTCAAAAGAAGAGAAAGATGCTGGGCCATTTGCATGCCCTTCTCTACCGCGATGCTTTCAAAAGCCTGATATCAGTTGCAAGTCGCCTTCTGGAGCTCCATAGAAACATCACCTTTAGATGCTTCTGCTGCTGCTGCTGCTGCTCATGTATCGGTGTACCGTGACTTGCAGCACAAATTTAAAAAGAACGACTCCTATATTTTACAATTATTTTACTTTTTTTTCTTTTTTTTCTTTTTTTTGGGTTTTAGTTGCGTAGCCAAACTGTATGTAGTGTGTTTTGCACATTGTATTCTTTGACCCAGTTGGTGTGGTTAGCATTCAAGCACTTTGAACTTGGACCTCACGGATTTGTGGTGAATTTAGATGCTTCAACGACCAGAGCAGTACACTGCGTCGTCTTCTTGTGATGCGTAACTTGTTTTAGGGCTTTTGTGTTTATCTCTGACTCTGATCCTGGATGTGGACGTCACTGGATAACTTGGTTCAAATCTTTGCAACATCGTGAATAGTGTTGTGCTTTCAAAGCTTGTTGGCCAACTCTGCAGTGCCTCACTGGGACACCTCTCCATGCATACATCACACAATCTATAATCTGTGTGTGAAAACTACATTAGGGTTTCATGCAGCCAGAAATCGGCTTTATATGGTGCATCCCATGTGTGACGCTTCCTTGAGGGTTCTCTTTCCAGACAATATTAGGGTTTCTCTCTCATCAACTTTATATAGCTTTTTGTGTTTGGTTCTCCTTGCGAGCCTGGACATTGGGTTTATGTAATGCCTTTTTATGCAAATTTCTTTACTGGCCTTGTAACTCAGGCATTCTATCATAAACAGAAACCACATAAATTAGCAGTGACCCTTGGTGGCTTAGTGTCAAATACAGGACTGCGTTGTTGCACATCCTACAAAACTGGATGTTTATTATGAGACCTTATTTGCTCTTTCTCTTTTAATTAGTAAGGACAAACCCATCGTAAAAAGTTTTTGTAATCAATTTTGAGATCCATTGCACGCAAATTCACATGATGTGACGATTGGTAAATTTGAACGCACAAGACTTGTTTGATACCTTCTACTGTGTAGCTTTCATCAACAAGCATTTGCAATATGAAGGAGAAGAGTGATTATGTACAATAGTCTTTGATTCCTCAAAAATCATAAAAATGCCTGCTTGAGCATAACTCCTTTTTAGCTGTTATAAATCATAAAATAGTATGGAAAAATAGTTTATGGATGCACATGCATTTCATTGAGAGATGTATAATGTTCCTTTTTATTCTTTACTTTTCTAGAATATAAGACAATATGATAAATCCATGGCTTCAAGAAGGTTCAAGAAGAAATTATAATGTTTAACAGATGGGTTTTGAATTTTTGTAACTTGGTGGCATCATCTAATTATTAGTTTTGGTTGGGTTTTAATTTGGATTTTAAGAATCCAATGGAATGATCAAATAAAACTGATGTTTGATGTAAATTAACAAGTTACATGAAGGGTATAAGAAGTTTTCCAAATCCAACATTGTTTTGACTATAAGCATTGTTAGATCTCGCCTACAAATATGATTTTATGTTTCTACTTGTCAAAATTTTATTCTTATATGTAAATACTACAAATCCCCTATTTGAATTACACTAATGAGTTTGAAGAGAGTAATGGAGTGGATTGGAAACTTGTGATTCATGGTTCTGACACTCCTTTAAAACGATTTAAATTGAAATATTGGTGACATTGGATTTTAGACAGATACAAGAATATACAAACATACAGACAGACAGACAGAATATTGAAAGTAAATGAAATTGAATTTGAAGAGCCAAAACTTTATTAAAAGGCTATAAGAAGTCAAGTAAAATCAAAATTTCTCTAAATAATAAAAGAAAGAAAAAATGTATTTAGAATAGTGTACTATTAAGATGCATATCTTAAGTAAACACAGTCAATAGAAAAATGAACGCATATCTACAATTCAAGTAAATAAAAAGTTGTTCATAATTGATTACAGGAATACTAAAAAATGATAAATAAAACATCATACATATTAATATGTTTCTAAGCATATTATGTGTTTTAAATTTTAACAATAGCCATTTCAATTTCTTCATAAAAATACATACATACATACATACATGTATTTTTCATCACTATTTAATATATGTCTCACTTGTTTATTTACAATCTTCAAGTTCTCAACCTTGTCAGTGGCATAAGAAGTGTCCACACAATAGAAAAGGGATATCTTCCTAATAGTACTTTAACAAAAAAATATATGCATATATATATATATATATATGCGCTACAAGAATTATGAAGAGATAATCATTCAAAAATAATTGTAATAATAGATTTTTTTAGTGTTTATAATCTGTGAAGATGAAATAATAATTAGATTTTTATCATATAGAATTAATAAAATTTGAAAATTGATTCTGCTGCTAAGGATTATATCTAATTTTGTATACATTCCAAAATGATTCTCAAAGGTAAATTTGTCCTTTAATTTTTAAATGTAATATAGGTAATTGACTTTGAATTTTATCTTTATTTGTTTAAAAATGTGTTTTTATATATTACCGTTAAATTTCAATCTTATAAAATAATATATATTTTTTATTTAATAAATTTCTTTTGAAATAATAATTTATTTCATTTATATACATAATTTAATTTTAAGATATGTTTTATGTATTCTAAAAATTTGGTTGGTATTTTAGTATATTGATAATCATTCATAAGGTTATCAAAAATAAAAACAGACCATGTCAATACCAATTTGAAATAAAAATTGATATTTAATTATTATAATTAACCTTTAATTAATTTTCAAAAGTCTTTTCTATGTATTTTTAAACATTATAAAAGATGTCAAAGTTGTTAAGTTTTTTTAATAATACAAACCTGTCTTATTTGATTAAATTTAGATATTCTTAAAGATGATACTTACTACCAAAAGAACAATAATAAATTTAAATTTTTACCAAGCTTGGTCTAATTTCATTATTTATAGAAAATTTAAGATAATTTTTTCATTTGTCAAAATATATTTAATAAAATCACTCATAAAAGAACTATTAAATTGCAACAAATATAGTCCTATTATCACAATAAGACTTGCAAAAACAAATTAAAGAATAATTTTTTTATAACTTATACA